GTGTCCTCGAAAGGGGGCACCTACCATACACACTTTTCTTAGCGTGGTGGGAAAGGCCCAGTTTTCCATAGTTTTCCCCTAAACGGGAGAGACGCCGGAAGGCTGCCGAAATTTCGGGTGAACGCAATGCTACACTTGGACCTAATTGAATACTTGGAGGACTTTGACATTAATTTGACCTTAAATATGCAATGAATTCAAAGCCAAACTTGAACAAAATGAGCTCAAAGTTGAATCAAATGATGAAAACTTGTAAGCTTGGACTTATAAGCTTGAACTTGAAAGACAACGAAGCTTGAACTGAACTTGATCGAACTCAAATACAAAGAACATTGACTTGAGATTGTAGTTTTGAACAACTACAAGGGGAGTTAAATGTGAACTCGGACTCAGATTTGAATAGAAGACTTTGAACCTCACTTAACTTAAATGAATCATAAAATGAATGATTTGAACACAAGCAAAGGTGTTGAAGACTCATTTTGAAACTCAAACTGATTGAGACCTCAGTGGATATGACTTGGACCATTTGAATTCAAAATTCAAATGATCAAAAGACTCAAATGAGCAAGTTTTGGAAATGAACAAGGCTACTTGGGTTTGGACTCAAATGTGCCTAGAACTTGAATGAACCTAAGCATAATTCCTTAAGTTTGAGATCAACTTTGACATTGGTTTGAACATGATTCAAACAAATGAGCAATGAAGGACTTCAAAATGTTAAAGAATTTTTAGGAAATGTCATTCAATCCCTATTCAAACAAATAAAATTGCTTGCACTCTAACATGGAACTCTTTGGACAACATCATCAAATGATCGTAAGTGGAAGTGGAAGTGCATATTCAAAGTAACAAATATCAAAGTCATCATACACGATCAACCTAAAGTGATTGTATAAGAAGAGTGCATGTTATTCATCTCAATCACGAATGCCATACCCACAAAGAACATATGAAGAATGTGAAGCGGCTCATAGATGGATATAGTGGTTATCTAAAAGCACGAAAAGCTGAAACATATAAACATGGTAGGTTGCTAATAAATTCAATGATTTGTTGGCTAATGTTCACGAAGGGGATATGCTCCATATATGACGAGCCTCCAATGCACGTGGATACTTGTGTGAGGTGTCATCCCTGAGAACTGATAGAAGGAACTTTCTAATGCAGAATAATATACTTATAGGTGGCAATCAACAACATGCAGTGAATGTTATAATACTCCTACAATCAGTAATAATCCAGTACTAAGCAAATATACTAGCTCCCTACAAGTAAGAGTAAAGGGTCCTTATAAGGGATTCGACATACACACTAAATGTCACATACGAGCAGAATGCCAAAAGACCACAATAAGCGCAAGCTCCTACGACCAAAGCAGGAGACTCGTTAGTGCACTACGATCCACCTACAGAAAGCAATAAATAGTGCACGACAACCTACCTGTAAGAAGCAGCAATCAATTCTATTCAGAAGCTGCAATGCCACGCCACCGGATCTGCAACATTCGTACAAGCAGGCAGAATGCGTCTATAAACTACAATGTCACGCCACCGGATCTGAAACTTTTATGCAAGCGGACAGAAGGTGTCTACAAATACTTTCAAAGTACCCCCGCACGTACACAGTAGTTTGTATACACATAGGTACACTAAAAGGGGTAAAAGCAATCAATAACCCGCAAGGGCTCCGACGAGCGTGTTATTGGTACACACGTGACGTCTAGGGATGTTGTGCGGGTTATTAAACTTGAACCCGGTCCTTCTAAATAGATAAAAGGAGTTGACAATGTTCAATTATAAAATGCCCTCAAACACCCGCATGGGCCCCGACGAGCGTGTTATTGGTATACACGTGACGTATAGGGATGCTGCGCGGGTCGACAAGTGATTTCAAGTTCGAAACCGATCCTGCTATACGGGTCAATAGAAGTCGACAGAGTTCGAACCAACAAACAAATATACGATTATGACGACCGTCATATTTGTCTTAATACATTCATATTAGGCCTTCAAGGCCTATAATAATGAGAATTCACTATCAATGACATAAAGCCTACGAAACCCGATCTTCGATCAATAGCTTGGTCGAGTTGATAGGGTTCAATCAACAAAAGATAAATGACCCCAAACACCCCGATGATGGCCGTGGTGAATGCAGATCTCAACCAGAGAGGTTCCCAAATATTTTTTAAATGCCTCCCAAATATCCAAAGTCCATTTCAAATATTTCAAAGCTCCACCCAAATACCCACGAAAATCCAAAAATCCAGAAAAGTCTCAAAATCCCAAAAAAATTTAAATTTGAAATTCAACCCATTAAACACTTCAAGCAAAGCTCATTCACCATCCGCAACAGTCTGTCAGGGTGGACAAATTCAAATAAATTCTAGCTCACAAAGAGCCAAATGCCTAGTCAAAAATATCACTATGATCCATTCTTAAACAATCTCTTGCCAGTAAGGACGTGGTACGTGTCCTCTAACCGGCAATTTCGCCGCCAAATGGCACTGCAGGTAAACGGTTATGACCCAGGGCCCTCTGAACCGAGTGGTTTTGCCGCCAAATGGCACCACAGATAGCGGTTATGACCAGAGCCAATACGCTCCTTAATGGCGTTAAATCCTTGAGATATGAATCAATATGATATGATCGATAGGGCACAAAGCCCTCTGTTAGCTAAGGTGGATTCAAATTTGTCCCCTTAGACGAACATCCAACCCAGGTCTACAAGGTCCCCTTGGACGAAGCAACCCATGGCTGCCGACAAGGATCCTTCTGTCAGGTTGGGTTGACTACCTCCGCTGACTAAGTAGACCAGGGACCACAATAGCCCGGGACGACGGAACCATGAGATCTTGATCGGGTCTATCATCCATTCCCCCACCATCCGCTTTAAGTACTAGAAGGTGAAAATTTCTATTTTAAATATCAAACCTTCAAATTCCAAATCTTTAAACCATTCAAATTCCAAACCTTCAAACATTTCAAAAACTCATTGTTGCTACTATATGCTAGATAACACGTATATTCTACGTATCTGATCGACGACTAGCCTTAATCGAAAGTTCTCTCTCATGATCGAGAGGGGTAATTAACTATAGGGTCTTGCGCCTATAGGAAACCAGAACTCAGATCATAAAGTCCTCACAAAATGAGGGCGAAGTCTCTGGGTAGTGTCTTATCTACAAACCCATCTGCCTTCAAAAATTTACCCCGGAACTTATCCGTTAAAACTCCCTCGCCAAAAAAAAAAAAGCAAAGCGGGCGGAGGCCGGGGCCGAATTTTTGGAGCCCACATCTGATTTTGATTTATCATAAAATGTGATTACGGATGGTTCTAATGGTGTCTTTGGGCTTTTTTTATGCTTAGAAGTATTGGAAGGGTGTGTGAAACTCATATCTGAAATTTTTCGTGGGAATCAAAGGAGTCTAGAGTGAATTGGATGAGAGAGCCAAATTACGTTAAGGATACTCTAGTTTTAGCCGAACACTTGCAAGAGGCTAAGAATAAAAATTTATTTGCAGTAGTAAGAGGACAAAACTTGTAGATCTATGCCAGAAATATCGTCGAAGGAGTAGAAGAGATAGGAAGAGAAATCAGCTAGGGAGAATAGGGTTACCTAGGACTTCCACCAAGAAGAACTCAAGAAGGGCCGGCCAACAAGCTCACAATCCTAGAGTTTTCACTCTTATTGTTTTATTAAAATATAAGTATGAAAAGTGTGAAATACGAATGTGTTTATTATCATATGATCAAAAGCTCTAGAATACACTATCCAAAATTGTAGATTTTTACTTTAAACACCGAAGGCATTTAAAACCATACTTTTTAAACCACCGCACCATTGTTGATTTTGGGTGTTAATGATTTGGTTTGAGATAAATGACTGACAAATTGGAGAAGGTTACTTGGATTACCAGTATTGCCATGATATCTTCATTCACAAAAAAGCGGCAGAATTAAAAGAGGAGATCCTTTACAAAGCCATTTGATGATCAACCATCATCAAGGTTTACAATGGAAACAGTAAAAACAAACTTTGTAGGAAGTATGAGTAATGATTAGGAATCCAAGAGAAATTAGAAGAAAGAGGAGGATAGCTCTAATATCATGTTGAAGAACATAAGAGAATAATGCTACATTGTTTTCATCTTCTCAACAGATAAAAAATATACATAATTTATAAGAGACAAACCAATCTAGAACAGAAAGACAAATAGGTAATGGAATTAAGCCATAACAGCCATATAACAAAGAGAAAAAAAAAAGAGAGATAGAAATTAGCCTAATCAATAATAACAAAGTATGAAATGAATGCAAGAATTAAGCTCATTTCCCATTAGGTAACAATTATTGACGGACAGCAGCTAAGGAAGCAAGTATGGGGCATCACAGCAGTGAGAGGAATGGCTGGCCGAGAGCCAATTGGTGGCATGCAATCTAGCAGGTCGCAGGGGCAAAGCTAACAGGGCCTGGAAGGTAGCTGGTGCAACTGGTGTGGCTGCAAGCTAGGAAGCTGACGGGTTGCTGCATTGATTATATGAGCTAGTTTTGAGCAGGACAGTAGCTGGAGTGTGGTTTTGGAAATAATAGAATGTTGTTTATTGCTTCCTAAATTTAAGGAAAGTTGGCCAATGCCCCCAAACCTGATTTCAGGATTTCCACAATAAGAAAAGAATAGATGCAGCCCTCATGATTTTAACTTTAATGTAAAATAGCCCATCCCTTCAGTTCAGTTGCATAGAGAGATTTGTGCTGTTTATCACTTTTAACTCCAAAATTTCAAAGCCCGCTTCTTCCTATGAAGAGGAATATCCTAAAACTTAAAAAAAACTAATTTACTGGCTAACCTTCTCTTTTATTTATAAATTATGCAAGCAATTGAAGCAACATTCATTTGCATATGGAATGAAACGGTCAAATCTGAAAAGAATAATATGTCCAAGTAAAAGTATAATAAACCCCATGATTTTATGATCGGAACACTTATTCTGAACCTTTTTTTGCATCGGGAAGACGTCCTTCTCTTGGGCAAGCAGAGGAATCCTGCAGAAGACAAATATCCAATTATCAGATACATCACGAAACATTTCAAATAATATTTGTAAATTTTTGTAACATCTTTTACCCTTCTCCCAGGGACAAAGTCAATAGTTGGTCCTCCAGTAACCTCAACTGCGACAACCCCAGCTAACTGATTGCAATAACAAGGAAAAAAAATTAGGCCAAAATATCCAGATCATAATTTGCTTTAAATGAGTCTCAAAATTATTGGTTTTCCTTTGAAATGAAAACAATAAATGAGTAACCAATCAAAATTTATATTGCGCTCATCTTGAAGTAAATCCAGTACATTTGAGAACTCATCTTGACCAAATTTTGGCCACAAGATACGCTAATCCAAGTTTTTTTCATAATAATAAACAGAATTAGCTATAGAATAACAATAATGGAAAGAGAAAATAATGAGAAAAGAAGCAGACCTAGAAAATATCAAGTTGGATACCAACTAAACCCCTTTTGTTACATTTTTTTCTTAATTTCAAGGTCTGGAATATACCACTCCAACATGATAATGCAAAGATTTAATTCTGGACGGGTAGCTTTTGTAAGACATTCTTTAATGACAAACCAAAAGGAGCTATGTGAAAACTTTCATAAGACTAATTAGAGACAGTGAGCGGCATTGGAATTATTTTCAAGCCATTTTTTTCTTTTAGCATCTTCAAGAAAATTGGTGCCTTTATTAAGCAGTCCAAAAAGCTGATGTTCGAGCCTTATGGCTGTGATTTCTACATAGTTATGTGCAGACACCACCATAGATTATTAGTAATTTAAATAGTATCACTCTAAATAACATCGCATCACACAAAAAGAAATAAATAGAGATATCATAAATTAAGACGTGTAAAAGCAAATATATAGTTCTTGTTTTTCAACATATAAATGTTCGGCCTTGCAGTAATAGTAGCTTTCTAAAATTTAAATGAAAACCCTCAAAAAGAACCTTTAAGCTTCTCCCTGTTCCTTTGTTAACATAAGACATTAAACAAGATGACAAAAGAGTACTACACAAAATAAAACAAAAACAATAGCGAGATATCAAATGACTTCAAACTCTAGAGTCATACAATGAAATTTGAGAATCAGAATTCATTCATGAATACAAGCCCAGGGTAGCATTTTGCTTTTTAAATGACTTTAACATTTTAATTTTCAATTTTAAGTAGAAAGGGGAGTAACGCAAAAGTCAATTTCTATAGTCATAAAAAATGTAAAATGTTCACATTGCATTGAGCATTTTAAATCTTGAATTTTGAATATATATATATATATATATATATATATATTGACTGTAATTAGCTAGCTTAGAGTTCTATTGTGTAACTTTCAAGATTGCGATTATATTAAAGAGCTTAGTTTGTTATTGGTTGAAAGTAAGATTGCGATTTTTAGAATCAAAATTTCATTCTATTGTGTAACTTTCATTCATGTACATGACTTTCGTGATCCTTGATTTCTAGTTATTAATCTTCTTGTAGAAGGCCACAAATCGTAATTGATTTTTTTTTAAATCAAAAGTAAATGAATAATTGTTCAAGATCAGTGTCCAGCACATACTTGTCGCATTATTTGCTATATATATTACAAAATGTTAAACCTTAAGACAACCTATATTTATGGGTAGGTGAGGCTTGAAATAATTTATCACAATTATCATTAAAAATAAAATTAATATAAAACAAGCCTCTTACATTAAATTTTGGTTGCATATATTTTTTTTCCTATACCCTTTTCAACTCTTTAATATATCTCTTTTACGATATCAATTTTCCAAAATCAAGGCATGGCTCTCAAAGCACCTCATATTCATGACTTTGTGATACAATATGTAACTATAAATAAAAATGAAAGGTGCAACATGAACCATATTTAGAAATGATTTAGGATATTTTAGGAATGTTCTTGTGACTATAAGTTCTTGAAAAAAAAGCTCCCATGCATTCCTTCAAGGAAACTTAAAGATATTTTCCCAAAAACTAGATTTTGATATGCATATAAAAAGATTCTCTCTTCTTTTTTAAATTTTACTTAATTATGGGATCGAGACTTCCTACAGTGCAAACATCCAAAATTAATCATATCTGTTGATTAGGAAAGCACTCTCAATTAAGGAGGTTGATTGGCTCTATATTCAAGTTACTTAATTTGTGTAATGGCATTTTATATATGTCCTATTACATTGAAGTTTCAAGGATGTCCAATAAGTGTGTATGATAAACTCTGTAAAGGCCACATAGTTCCATCATCCATGGTTTTACCATGTGAGCCACAATCAAAAGAATTAGTGAGTCATAGTTGTTACAATACAATTCAAGTCAAGTGTCTTAGATTAAGGATCCATACTTGTAATCATAAGCGCTAAGCTAGGAGATTGTTTGACTTTTAACATCTTCAAATCAATGGCCCTTAGATGTTATAACAATTGAGTGTTTCAGAATAGCTTCCCTTTTCTAAGATAGTCCACTAAGGATTTGGGGTGACCTTGGGTCAAGGGATTATTTTTTATGATAAAACTTTATTCACTTTACAAACAAAAAGCATGCTATGCCAAGTAGATTGATTGGCTCAAAAGTGCTAAGCATTGATCAGTTGTAGTTAGGTGTCAGTCATAACCAACAGGAGCACAAAAATAAGCATAAATGCATTTTCAAGGTCTAAGCAGATTTAGCCCAACATCATATTAAAAAAAAAAACTAATTGAATGCTAGTATAAAATCACTCAATCCTAACCTAAAAGCTTTAAGTTCATTGGACTGCACACTTACAAATTAGCCCACCAAGGGGAACTTTAGACTACGTCTAATTCTCAGAGTATAAGATTAACAATAATATTTGGAAGAAAACAATGGGTCCAAATGAGGCAAGTAATGGATACACTCCTAAGCAAGTTCCTTATAAGGATCCAAACATTATGGGAACAAGGAACTACTTAGATGAGCACATAATTCATCAGAATTCTTGAATTGTTGGAGCAAGAGAGTGACCTCGGATTACATTTGTTGTGAAAAAGAATGGACACATGAAGAGAAAATCATTATAGTGATATGTGGGTGGTTTAGTCCAACATTAAATTATCAATAAAGAAATAATACTAATAGTGGATCCTTACAAGAAGGCTTAAGTTGGGATAACTATCAAATTACGTTGATTATCACGCCCAACCTACATTCCATAGCACAATAATCCCCTCCACAAGCCCAATCAAATTTAACCATCCAAATCAACAATTGAATGCTAATGCTAGTTATTATTGCGGACCTTTTATGATGTTATAATATTTGTAATGAAAAGCTCAACTAGCAACCTTCAAGCCTAGCGTACAAACGAGTCAAGTCAAGCCTAACTCGAGCTCTACTCATAAGCCAAATCCCGAGCTCGAACTCGAATCGAGCTCAACTCGCCACAGAAATCTAGCTCGTCGAGCGGCTCTCTTCACCCGCGAATGCGGTTCACATGCACCTGCCGCTTCTGTCTCGAATGTGGTATGCACAAACCCGCCTCTACCATCGTGAACGTGCCCCCCCCCCACACGTGTCGCGGTTCGCACGCAGCACTAGCTCTGATTCGCTCCCTGCCGCTCTGTTCTGCCTTCCGTCCCCTACCGTTTCGCGAGACCCTTAACGAGTAATTGAGTCGAGCAGATAGTTGTTCGAACTCGAGCTCGATGAGCCCAACAAACTCCAAATTCTGTTCGAGCTTGACTCACGAGCTCGATAAGCTCGACTCACGAGCTCGTTAACGAGTCGAGCTCGAGCCGACTCGCGAGTCAGCATGACTCAGTTACACCCCTATTCAAGTTAAATCATTCTAAATGATTCAAACACATGAGCATTAAACATTAATGGATGTTAGGAACTAATTTAATTCATGCTTTAATTTCTTTAAAATATTTCTTCTATTGTTTCTCAAAAGTTTTTGTCCCAATAAAAACCAACTAGTAAATCAATAATTATTAGATGCACACCAATGTTTCGATGAAATAATTTCACAAATTAGTCATGTGATTATATTAGTTGTTAGTCGTTCTGTTGCCTTGGCTCTGTTTGGTTTGAAGGAATTGAGGTAGGGGAAATAAAAACAGAACTATAGAGATATTAGCTAGAAATTAGTTTTGACACACTTGTTTGGTTGCAGGGAAATTGAGTGAAAGGAGTTATTTTTTATTATTATTTTTTTTTTCGGTCCAAAAGTAAAATTTTTGGAGTGTAATTTTAGTAGTAATAGACCTAGTGAAGGGATTGTGACTTTGGGGATTAAGTCATTAATAAGAGTACACGTTTTAGATATCTTGGATCTATTGTTCAGAGTGATGGTGAAATAGATGGGGATATTATCAGCAGAATTCAAGTTGGATGGTTGAAGTGGAGGAATGCATCGGGCTTATTATGTGATAGAAATGTACCCCTCAAACTTAAGGGAAAATTCTATAAGATGGTAGTGAAGCCTGCAATGCTTTATGGTGCCGAATGTTGGCCATTAACAGAGAAGCATAATACTAAGTTAAGTGTGGCAGAGATGAGGATGCTAAGGTGGATGAGTGGCTTTACCCTTAGAGATAGGATACGAAATGAGCATATACGTGAAAAGGTTGGAGTAGCTCCAGTAGAAGATAAGATTAGAGAGAGTCTCCTTAGATGGTTTGGTCACATAAAAAGGCGGCCTTCCGATGATCCGGTTAGGAGAATAGAGATATTAGATTTGACTTGTGTTAAGAAAGGTAGTGGTAGACCTAAAAAGACTTTGTTAGAAAATATTATGAATGACCTTTCTTTATTAGATTTAACAAGAATTTGACTTTTAATATGACACAATGGAGAAAAAGGATTCATGCAGCCGACCCCACGTAGTGGGATAAAGGCTTGATGTTGTTGTTGTTGTTGTATTTTTTTTTCAGTCCAAAAGTAAAAAATTTATCTTATGAGAAGAGGATTTGAGTTACAACAATGACTCAATAAATTTTTTTTCCCAATTTTTGTTAGGGTTGGGTAGGAAATTGTCAATGGAAAAATATATTTATTCATATTTCCTAGGTAAATCTAATTACCTTGTAATTATAAGGTAATTAGATTGAAACAAAGCACTCAAGATAAAATTTTGTGGTAAAACGGGTTTATATTCCCTACAATTCTATCATTTACCAAATAACACTATAGAGTTCAAGGATCAAAATTGCCGCAAAGGTTAACTGGAATCTAATCTAAACCTAGTACTTCTAGCATGATTTTTTTGACATTTAGCTCCCCAAGTTTGCAATTGTTTGCTCAGTTCAGTTGAAAGATACAAATACACTAAAAACTACGCTTTTATGAGAGAACTGTACCTAAGCTATCCACAAAAAGTTACTACCATGATTCTAATAGCCTCAGTATTAACTTCAGCCAATCTAAGACTGCTATACTCACAAACAAAATGCGTTGATTGCTACAGATGAACATGCATTGCCTAGGTGGAATGACTGGCAAGTACTTAAAACTTCTAATAGGATAATGTAGGAAAAATAAAATAAACGTTGTGTTTCCAAAAAACATGGATTTAAGTATCATAAAGTCCATGGCAAAGAAACCTGAAATGTGTATATATTTGTACCTATGAGTTTCCAACAATAGACATATGCTATCTTTTAAGTTACGTCTTAACAAAATATGAAAAATATAAAAGGAACATTGAATCCAAATAGAAAGATAAGAAAAAAATTTCACCATGGTTAACGGTAAAAGGCAAAGGCTATTGGATTTTCATTTATGAAGTTATTGTGATAAATTTTCCCAGCTAATAATAATTTTTCATCCCAAAAAAATAAATAAATTTCACCAAACGGCAATTACTAAAGTGTATACCTTCCTTCAGTTAATTTTAAAAACTTTAAGCCCAAAATTTCAATACAAAGAACATGGGAAACAGAAGTATTAAATCAAGCTGGTTAGCTGCATTCACCTGATAAAGGTCTGCATATGTAATCTTTGGATGTTTTGCCTTTATTGGCTCTATCAAAACAAAGCATTAGCTAGTCCCATGGATAATATGGATATACTTTAGACTGTTTAGTTATAAGAAACCAGAACTTACCCAAGAGATCAATGGCTATTTTTAAGCCAGCATTAGAACCATGACTGTACTCTTCCTCGAACCTAATTGAACCATTGGGCCCACCTGTCTTTGTTGCTTTATCATAGGTGCCAGCATCATGCCACCTGCAAGAATGAAAAAAAAGGAGATGTTTTATTATAAGTATTGCAAAATATTGACAAAAAGACTTCCGTTTTCTCATTTAAATCATAAACGTCAGCATTAGCTTTATGGCAACCTTTTCTGTCATTTAAATAAATGGAGGCTAAGCTAAATGCTAAAAATTTGCAATTAAGAATTATAGGAGCATAATGGAAGTATGGATAAAATTATTGAAATTGAAGAAACAACCATATGAAGATAAAATTATTTTCTATTGAAATTGAAGGAATATGGATCGTCTCATGAAGAGATTACGGTGTCTCGCACTTAATCAAAGGTGTTTATAAAAGAGTAAATTAATCCATTAAAGAAACCCAAATTATAGGAGCATAATGGAAATCCATAAATAATGGTAGCAAAGTTAAATGGTCATAAAATATACCAAAAGACGTCTGTAGCTATTGATTATCAATACTGCAAAAAAATTCACTGTAAGGTCTATATAAATAGCCCCAAATATGATTGTCATTCACTATGAGCTTTTTACACTTTGATCACTAAGACTTTTACCAAGTACAAAAGCGTCAGAAACCTCTAGAAAATTCCCTGGATCGTTTTAAGGACTTTGAGTTATGATTGAAGAAGCAATAAAGTTCTCGTAGTGATGACAGTGAAATCAGCCGCTCCTATTTTAATTAGAAGGAATTACTTCAGCCCATACTCCCAGCACCAACATGTCTAGGACAAGCTAGCTTCCTATTTCATTAATTGTGAAGTGTGTGACCAAAGTGGCAAGAAAGTACTACAACCCCCATTATCCAACTCAATAGTGAAGGAAAGCATCCTACACATGAATCATAAGGCATTGACCCCTCTTCCATGCTCTATACAAGCGCATCCCTAATAGAAGCTCCAATCATTGACCTCCTATTTTAACAAGTGCCACACTCTCTTTAATAGAGATATCTACCCACATCTCGACAGCAAAGGAGTATATCCTCATTCTCCCTTCTTCCCTAAGCAATCACCAATCTCCTGTTCTTTGCTCCAATCATGCCCATCTTTGTATATTGTCATCACAAGTTGGAGCAATGAAAAAAATTCGCCCATCTTTATTATTTTTATTTTAGATAAATTTAAGAACTACTTGGCTCCACACACTTTTGAAATGGGCTTGACCGATTTGTGCAAGGATGGTAGCAAGCATGGGACATCCTCTTCTCTCTCTCAACCTTCAATGAAGGTTCAAACACAAGAAATAAATGCATGAATGTTGATTTAAAATCTAGGATTCAATTATATTTTATTTTCAATCTTGTGAAGGGAATCAATCAATTAATCAATCAAATATAGAATTCAACTACAATGGATTTCTGAGGCAGCCAACCTTGCCTTCCCTCTAAGTTAAAGAGGCTTTAAAAAAAATGAAGTGTGGAAAAGTTGTTGGACCTGATGATATTCCAATAGAGATGTGGAAATGCTTAGGAGATGAAGGAATTTCTTGGCTTACTAAACTTTTTAATATTATTTTGAAGACTAAAAAGATGTCAAATGAGTAGAGAATGAATGTGTTGATTCTTATTTTTAAGAATAAAGGCGATGCACAAGATTGTGCGAATTATAGAGGAATTAAGTTAATTTATCATACTTTCAAATTACGGGAGAGAGATATGGAGCATAGGTTGTGGCATGGCAATAATGTTTCTCAAAATCAATTTTGATTCATAGGGAATTTTTGAATTATTTTATTATATTTATTTTATGCTTGAGAGATGATAATTTGTGAGTACATTATTTTATTATATTTATTTTATACTTCAGAGATTATAAAATTGTAAGTGTATTTTAATAGAAATTAGAATTGGTTGATTTAACTTAAGTTTTGCTTGAATGCAATGTAAAAGAAAGAAATTTGTAGTTCCCTCCTTAATGGAAAAGGCCTTACTTGCAAAAAAGGTTTTTGACCCACCTTCAAAGGGTAGGCATGAACCATAAATGAGAACTAAAAAATATAACTCCACCATAACATATAATAGGCTGAGTATTCTACATGAAAGAACTAATTCATGAACAACTACATAAAAATTTTCAAATCCCCCATTCAAAAAATTATGAGTTACAATTATCCATATAAAAAAATCCGATTATTCATACTCATAAACTTACACTAAAAGTAAAACCAAACTTTTTAGGTATCACTCATTCAAACTTAAACCACATTACAAGGAGCAAGTAGCCAGCATAATAGACCGTATAACCAAAAATAATTAAATGTAATTAAAACCCCAACATCACCATTTAATTAATTATAGGTTCTTAAAAATCCTATAATCAACATATATCTTAGGGAGAGTTCAAAACTTGAAGCATAATTAATCAGACCATATACGAATCATGAATAACCTTGAAGTTTCCTCGATGTCAAATAAGGAAGAAGAATCCATGACAAGAAGCCCATTTTTGTAAAATGGCCTTCAATCACTTCTCTAAATTCTATGTGCACCAACTTTTTTTTTTTCATTACTCATTGCTTATAAATTTTCATAGGCTGGCGGCCCAGCCATGCCCTTGGCATCATTGGCCATACAAAATAGAGAGTAAAATAATAATAATAATAAACAATCAAAGATCCATCAATGATAAAAACACCATATATGCATTTTCATTCACTCTAAGCTTTATAGTGTACATCATTTTGGTTTAGCACAAGCTAACGCTAACACTCGAAGTGAATGAAACCACATGAAGATTTCCTCAAAAATCAGCCATAACGCTTCTATAAGTACTAAGCTTGGAGTGTCAACAAATGACCTTGCACAACTCAGCATGAACCTAACATTGAAATTTAGATTTATGTTAGCTCTTTTTTGTTTTTGGATTTATGTTAGCATGGTTAAATTTTGAGTCAAGATTAGATCTAAAATATTGACCTGATTAAATTTTGGGTCAGGCTCAAGTTGACTCGGAAACCCAAATTTGACTCAAAAGTAACTAGTTACAATCCAGCTTCAAGTTAAACGGGTCGACTTCGAGTTAAATGGTTTATATTCAAGTTAAATGAATCGTATTTTGGTCAAGTGAGTTGTGTTGATCCAAAAAATTATATAAACCAAATAATAAGATGGTCAAATGAGTCAGGTTCAGGTCAAAAATTTTGATTAATACAAATAAATAGATAGAATTGAGTCAAGCAATTTCAGGTAGGGTCAAGTTTGGGTCAAACCTAAATCCAAACCATCAAACCGAATTGACACCCCTAGTCTGAGCTAAAATACAAGAAGTGAAATCCTCATGAAGATATAGCAATGGAAGTGAAATAAACCCACCTAATTTAGCAAGAATGAGTTTCTTTCGACTCATAAAACTACCACACTAGCTTCTTTCAAAGCAAACAAATTTTGGTACAAGTTAACTTTCCATTTTCATTAATTAGATTCAGCCTACAACAACAAGCATGCTACCATCGACGCTCAGCATATGAATGTGCATCTGGTCAGCAACAACATACGCCTTTTCCATGGGAATCACCCAACATACATTTTCTAGTAAATCCCAATAGCAAACGTTGTACAGTGACTCCCCCACCCCCATCTCCAACTCATAGTGAAGGCAAACACTCTCCACAGGGAGCATAAAGTATCAAAGCCCTCTTCCCTACCTACTACAAGCACTCCCTTAATAAAGGCTGCAACCCACATCAGAAAAGAGTAAAATAAGATCATAAACAATAACATCAGATCCCATCCTCCCACCATTCCTTTGCAAATTCAAGAACCAAAATCATCCATACCATCTCCATTTTACAAAAGTTTTACTATAGTTGGTCATCAAAAGCACTTCCCCCAAAACAAAAGTCAATTTTGGGGTGCAGGTACTATTGATTTAATCTCTATAACCCAGTTATACAGGAAAAATAACCATCACAGCAAAAACATAAACAAAAACAATAAGCATACAACACATGCAATCACTTCCAAAATAGCTTCGGCTTGCACAAAGAGAACGAAGCAATTAAGTTAAAAAAAGCAAATGCAACGAAATTCATTGACGCTGGTAAAAATAACCCATTAAAATCCAACAGCACTCACGCGAGTCGAAGCATGATGGGAGCGCAGTTCTTGCTTGAGATGAGAGCCCGCAAATCCCTCCGCGCCCTTTCAATCTCCTTCAGGTACTCTGCATCGACCACCGGCTGCGCCATTTCCAACCCTCGAGCAACTCACTCGGCCCAACACAAACAAGAAGAAAGCTTGCAAATCAAATATATATATAAAGTGAAGAAGAGGTGGAAGAGAGCAAGGAATTGACTTGTTTGTCAAGCAACGAAGAAAAGGATTTCGTTTTATTCGATGAAGGGTTGGGAACGAAGAGTCTTTTATCTCTCTCTCTCTCTCTCTCTTCGATACCTTATCGAAAACCAGTGTGAAGGGCAAAAATGATGCAGAAACGTGGCACTACTATGAAGTGGTTGGAAGAGACGGCGAGATGAACGGCTGAGATTTATGATGTTGAACTTTCTGTTGGTAAAGCTTCTAGTTTCTTCTAGGTCGGAGGCGGGTGGCCGCCACGGTCGCTAGTGCTTCACGCGAATCTGGAAATGTCGAGCTGCAGTAAATGTGGACACCGTTTGGGCGGCCTTTTAATCTTTATTTTTCTACAAAATACTTACAGATTTATTTTTTTTTTTTATTATTCAAAAATTTTAGAATTAGAAGTAGATTTTCTTATAATATAATAATTATGATGTTTAACTTTTTAATAGAGAAAAAGAATTCATGTAGCACACTTAAATTAGGAGTGTTAATATTCGACATAAATCGAAAATCTACAATAAAATTTCGGGTTCGTCAACCCATTTGAAAAGTAGGTCGGGTTCGAGTTTCAAATCCTGACACGATTGCAAATTTGGGTTGAGTTTTGGTCAATCTGAAAACCAGAAATCAACATGAAAGCAACCCACCAACTCACTCAAGAGTCAAGTCCTCCGTCGCGCACTCACGCTCTCCCGCCTGGTCGCTCATCGCGCTCTCGATCCTTCGCACACTGCTCGCGCTCGCCCACTCGCCCTCGCCTGCCCTCTCGAACCACTGAACATGCATATGCTTGTCTGCTAGCCTAGCTCGAACCCCCGTGGCCCCCCACTCAGGTCACCCTCGCGAGTCAGGTTCAGTTATGTTTTTGTGACCTATTTCCCTAATTAGGTTGGGTTCGATAAAGACAGTTGATAGTGGGTTATTTTCGAGTTGGACTCAAATCCAACAAGAAAATCCATTTTAACACCTCTAATAAAAACTTGTTGTTAGTTTAAGTCATATTATTAAAAAAATACATTTAATGAACTTTAAAGCAAAATTACATGGGTTTTTAAAAAAAATTTAATAAAATGAATTATATTTGAGAGGCTTATGGTATATATTTGAAAATTCATAATATATTTGTTGTCAAGATATAAGTCGATATTGCCCAGAACTCAAGCTTTTAAGTTCAACAAAATTCTAGCATCTTGCCTTAATCTTTTATATATATTTGAACAGAAATTCAAGTCATACAACCCAAACTCTCCACTTTGTGACAAGGTCCTCATTAAGTACGGAGCACACTCCTTTTTTATAATAATGATAATGATATAGATTGTTCTCTCTCAAGCACTGCTCTAGAAAAATGTGCGGGCCATCTAAGACCGCAACTTAGAATATATAAAAGAAGAAAGATGGAGTAATACTTAAGGTAAATGCTATGAGAAATTACTTAGATACTCACATGTTTTGGGTCCGAATATTTGTCACATTAGAGAGATAAAGAGCTTAATATATTAGCTTTGAATAAATATCTAACACATGCAAACAAAGATAGAGAGGTGAAAAAGTCATAAGAGACAATAATTTTTACGTGAAAATTCCTGAAAAAACTGAAAAAATTATGGGGTTATACCTAGTTGAAATGAATTCACTAGTGCTTAATGTTAATTATAAATGATGCTCTTCCTCATGAGAAAGCATTGGCTCAATGTAGAAAATATATAACATATTATAAAGTTTAGGGTAGAAGAATCTAATGGCATGAGAGCTATTCTCAAGAGAATGTTGGCATGTTCATTTGGTCAGTAGGACCGTAGTCGAGCTATAGAGGTTGGAGGGACCGTTATCAGGTGACAATGGCCTGAAGAACCATAGTCAATGGGTGAAGAAAGTCAAAAGAATCGAAGTCAGGCGACGGTGGTCGAAGGGATCATAGTTAGGTGATGGTGGTCAGAGAGACCAAAATCGGTTGGTGACAAAGGTTGGAGGGACCATAGTCAATGGACGACAGAGGTTGAAGGGACCATAGTTGGTAGGCAACAGTGATTAAAGGGACCATAGTTGGTAGGCAACAGAGGTCAGAGAGATTATAGTAGGGTGATAGTGCTCAGAAGGATCATAGCTGATGGGTGACAGAGGTCCGAAGGAACGAGTTAGATGATGGTGATCGGTGGGACTGTAGTTGATAGGTGATAGAGATCAGAAGGATTGTGGTATGTCAATTACTATGGTTAGAAGGACCATAGTCGTGCAACGGTGGTCTGATGGATTATTAATTCAGCATTTAAGTGCTTTAATGATGTCAAAATTAAGTGATTTAGGTTGTCATATTTAACTCATCGAGCTGCTCAATTTGATTATAAGCATGCTATATTTAAATATCATTTGGTTGTCCAATTAATGCTTTGAAGCTTTTAAAAATGCTTCAATCCATTGATTTGAGCTTATTTGGGCATGATTGGACCGATTTTAGTGTCGTTGAGTTCGTCTCGTTCAGAAGTTAAATTTGCTTAAAGTTTGCTAAAATTGGAGTTCAGATTATCCCAAATTTAATTTTGGAATTTCGTAATTTAGACATGCTTCCAAATTCATACCTAATCAAGGCAATTTTTGGTGATGTATCCTATATATTTATACAATCAATTATTTGGAATAATTATTTTGTTAAATAGACTGGAAAATCTACTCAGCTCTATAGTGCTTCAGCACAATATCTTCAAAGGTGAATGAAGAAAAGCACATATGAAAACATGGGAATTCCATTCAAAATTGTATAAAAGTGCAAAGTATTTCGTTCCTTAACAAGTAAGAAGAACTAAAAAAATCATGTATTAAGACTTCCATTGTATGTGGCACTCTCTTTATCCCTAATGAATAGGAGAAATCTTCATCATTGTACTTAGCTCAAGAGTCTTAAGCTTGAACTTACTTGTTAAGTTGGTTCACCATGTAAGCGGAGACATCTAATCCTCCTTGATGCTTTTGTGATAAGGCGACTTCCATTGGTAAAGAAGCTTTTTTCTATATAAATTAGTATTTAAGGTATCAATGATTTTCATAAAAAATTGATGTCTATAATTTCTCTTCATGCAAATATTTCTTTAATTTATCAACTTCTTCCAAAAATTTTATTGAGGCTGACTTCTTCTAAAATTGGTGGAGTAATCTTGGGAAAGATTTTATCTGCTTTCTAAAATAGCTTTTTAGTTCAAAATTTTTTTAAAAGTAATGAAAAAATAGTGATCAAAAGCTTTCCCAAATGAAGCCCTAACAAAGGGAAATGTAGCTTTGTTATAGTGACCACATCCTCAAAATTTTCATGTGTGGTTCTGTGAAAAAATAGCTGAGATGAGATCATAAGAAATTTGCGAGAAATCATCTTCAGGAAGCTTCGGGTTAAAACCATAATTGATATTGGAAGCAGAGTAGTCAGCGCCCACTTGAGTACAAATCTTTTCTCGAAATTGTAGGTAGCAGGTCTAAATTTCTAAAGTGGGAGATTGGTGACTTGCTTTCTTTTGTCCTTTGATCCGCCCATTATTAAGCTACAAACCTTTTAACCCGATCTACACTACTCATGATCTACATAATCATATCATAACTATTATGTCCTAAGTACAAATGAATAACTAAAACAAAAAAAGAACTTGAATAATCCTAACTAGCCTCACACTCTTGATCATTTGCCCTGACCTAAAAATATTTAACAACACATAATGAGCTCACAAGCCCAGCAAGTAACCAAATCCTATAACTTAATTCAACATAAGGAAAACAAGCAATATACATGTCAACAATAAATTATAGTAATTATATTTATATGATCATTGAAATATTGTAGAAATAGTAAAACACGATATAAAATGTAGTAAATTGGTACGAGTATTAAATTATTATAGCAATCGTCATATCAATACTACAATCAATAGAGAAACTATACTAAGCGATAAAATAAATCATCAATAAAGACTGTCAAAATCAAATCAATATAGTAAAATTATATAGAAGTGTACACATACTTTTTATATATTCTATATTAATATTAGATTAGTATCTTAATCACATGCTCAATATATCATGTATATTACGTGTTCAATATATATATCATGTTTTTTTATATCAATAAATCAATAGTAGTTTTAATAATTAATTTATACAGTAATATAAACAATGCCTCAATAACAATCATTTATGAAGTCACATTGAACAAATAAAGAATTATGGTTTTCATGATGTTTTTTAGTATCAGTGTCAGTATCAGTTGCTATTGGCTTAGTAAACAAAATCATCACACATTGCCTGACAGCATAATAATCATTACTTTATAATTTCTAATCAATGTATCATGTGAATCACTAGAGGATTACACCAAATCATAATATTTAAAGGTAAGCCCGTTAGTCCACCATCTTATACAGGTCAATCAGTCTCTAACTAACACGTCAACCAATCTTTACTTATCTTTTACACATATATTATTATCACAGTAATATAACAGTAATCCTAATTATATATATTCATTTTTACTACATTGCATAAAATAAAACATAATTGAGCTTAATTCAAAAAGTATCAAAATGTTCTAATGGTAGAGAACAAAAATTATGCTAAATAAAAATTCACATTTTTAGAATTTAATCAAATTATTAAATAATATATAAAAAAACATTCCAAAACTTTAGTTGAACTAAATCATTATTTTTAAATGTCAAAATAAAATTTTTAGTTTGCAAAAATTATTACATTTTTAAAATCTTTCATAAAAAAATATCAAATAAATATTCAAAATATTGATAATATTAATCTCCGTAGAGTTACGTGGTGAAAGTTTTACCAATACAAAATTATTTTTATTTTTTAATAATAAAAATATAAATTTAATTGAAATAAATATAAAAAATATAACATTATTGAAATCAAA